TGACTATAGTGTCCCTTTAATTTTGAGCAGTCTCACTTTAAATGGACCCCTCCTATATATTTTTAGAATTTCCCATGACAGTATATGTTAAGCAAGCACCAGGGAGGTGCGAAACGCATCCAGGGCATTTGCATCACTTGTTTTTTGGGTAGTGGTGTGGGTGGTCTTTTGTCTGGCAGTAGCAGGTATCACGACAATTTGTTACTCCTCTCATTTATCTGTCCTATTTTTGCAAAGCTTGTTTCTTTTGCTTGGATAGCTATTTTTGGAGACAACATGTCATCTATATAATATATTATGCCTGCTTGAACCCCCGAATACCTCTGAGGGTTGCCATGACAATCTAATGCCATGTTTATGTCCTGTTTTATACCAATAAATGTGCACTTTTTTCATACTTTCCATATTCTCCATTTCATTTTTTCTATAGACTATTGGGGCTCAACCCTGTGTGTGGACTATTGTATTTATATTGTGAGATATTTTCTATGATTGGGAAAAGTCCAGCACCAGGATCTAAAAATTAACCATATGATCTCAGGATTCCCATCAATGCACTAAGAATCTACCTGATGCCAACGATACTACAAAACTTGGTGTTGCGGCATTGTTTGTGGTTGGGATTTTATAACTCATCCACATTTTTTGTTTTAACTCACTGTCTACTAATTCCCAGATTTTACTATTAACATGACGTAAAGTCATGATTTTATTAAAGACACGGAGGCGAGTATTATGCTTTCTCTTTCTTTATTACTCTCAGCAGCAAAGATAGAGAAATATAAATTAATCAAAATGAAATAAAAAACTGGATAGGCACACAGGCAACCGATCACATAACAGATGAAGTGACTATAAAAGGCATGTGTCTCCCACAATCCCCCTCTTTATTGCGAACCGAAGACCAGGAAACATGAATCGACATCACACACTGGTAAGAACAGGAAACAGCAACAAACCGAACTTCAAGCTACAAAAGAGAGAGAAATATGGTAAAATCCAAACTCCAAACTGAAACTCACCAAATAAATTCATCAGGAGCAGTCTAGGAACTCAAACCTAGAATATAGAAAATTACCATTAGTACCAAACCATGGAAAATTGAAACCTCTTCAGTAATTATACATCATAAACACGTACAATAAACAGACTGGATTGCAACATACCTGAAAGTCCAACAGCATCTCATCCCAAAACCCAACACCGGGAGGGTGGGTGGCAATAATACTCGCCTCCGTGTCTTTAATAAAATCATGACGTCATGTTAATAGTAAAACCTGGGAATTTTATTAAAGACACGGAGGCTCCTATTATGCAAGTTCAAAGCTGAGCCACCATATGAGATGCAATGTGATCAACCGGCCTGAAATAGAAAATCACAAAACCCGACACTTGCCACCGGACAACAGCCTGTAAGGTATCCTCCAAATGACAACCACCCTCCAAGGCCCTGGACGTCATACCTCCATGTACCAAGTGGGATGCAACAAACGACATGTCGATACCAGCCAACATAGTAGTCATTAAACCCATCGCGCCAATGTAGGAGTGGACACCGGTAGGTAGGGAGTGTCGAAAAAAAAAGAACAAAGTGCACGGTCCGGAGAACTTAGTGGCTACGTAACCTCCATGTAAGTCTTCAGACACCCCACCGGCCATAGCGTCAAAAACATCTTGAACGTAGGGTATAAATTCCAGCCCCAGTTGGCCTAGTAAGGTGAATCCTCTACATAGATGACCTACGAAGGATGTTGACCGACTAGGAAAAATCCCAAAATCCAATGTCGATGGTTAGATACGGAAACCAGTGTTAGTCCCACGCATCAACCACACTTGTCATGGTGACCGAAGGCCGATCGATTACCCGGCATCCATGTGTTACAGAGGAGACGGGGAGTTGATCGCGGAACGTCCAAGATAATCCAAGCGCCCCGAAAGGAGTCACGTCATCCGGTGTAGAAGGCCTTGGTCCACTAAGCGTGTTCCCATTCGGTCTAGAAGGGTTCTGAACGCCTGGAATCAAACGTGGGCAAACTATCGCCATTCTCAGTGATCAAGGGAACCATGGGTGCGACCTTCGCAGAGTAGCAATTAACACCAACGCAACCAAGTCGAACGGAGGGAAGGCATACATCCAAGTATCCGGTCAATCCTGAATGAACGAGTCAATCGCTACAGTTGATAGGTACTGCCTTCCAGCAGTAAAAACTTTGGTAACTAGGTGTTAAGGCAAGATGCCAACAGATCCACCTCGAACAGCTTCCACAACCGTTGCAAACCGTGAAAAACGCCGAAGCGTGTACGCCCCAGTCTCCAGAAACTCTTGAATAATCATGAATTCCAATTGGCCCTAGAAGTGTCCAGGCCTGGAATGTGTTATGCTGTCACCGAGACGTTGTGAAGACAAAATCGCCAGAAGCCCTATGCCACGATTAGCCACGTGAGCGATTTCGTGCCCCCTAGCTGGTATATTTTCTCATTGCTGACATATAGTCCACTCAGAGCATAACGCAGTCGCTTGCGCGACCGGGGCAACACTGGGAAAAGCAAAAGGTTCCCGCCAAGAGATACAAACAGTCGATGTGCAACATCTTCTCGAACTCGGACCACTTGTCTCTGGAAGAAAAAAGATTCACGGCTCACAGAGGGTCCCACTGATCCCGGCCTCCCTATGAGCCAAGCCATCGGATCAGTTAGTTTCTGGACCCGTCGTCCAACTTCCACCTTGCCTCATAAGAGTGACCCGGACAGAGATAGGAATCCTTCTGACTTGAAGTGGTCGAAAGTGAGGTGGTCCTGGAGATGTAGCCTGGATGGAAACCATAGGCAGGTCTGGTACCCTCACTAAATGCCTGATTACCAGGTCTTCTGCTCTAAAAGTCCACATGACTACCTTCGTCATGGTTTTCATCTTGGAGACAAGGAGGAACAGGAACAGCCTGATAGAATTCCATCGTGAAACCCAAGAAAACTCCACCGTCTGTGAGGGATACAGAAACCGACTTCCCAGCTGCTCATAATAAATTCAAACTCTGAGGCATCGTAATCGGTTAGTTCACATGCAACTGTAACTGGTACCTGGATGGGGACATGACCAAGACGTTGTCTAGGTAGATATTCAGACGGGTACCCCTAGTACCTCTTGGTGGGACACCCAGAAGCCGATGAGAGACCGAACAGTAGCCCTAGAAAACCTTGAACGTTTCATTCACCAGGCAAAAAAATGGGGCCAAAAATGCTAGGCTAGGATAGAAAAAATTCTAGACGGTAGCCCCACACTGCATGGAGAAGCCATGAGCCTATAGTCAAGGCAGCCCATCCGTAGTAGAAACTGGGCCAAACCTGCCCGCCACCCATCCTTGAGGAGGAGGAGAAAAATGGGTATCCATCAGAAAGGCGTCTGCCCGACGTGTTACCACGGGGGTGGCAGGGATTTAATATATTCTCCCCCTTGATGGGGAGGAGTGTGGAGGCTTGAGTTCGTGGAAATCCCGCATAGGGGGAAGGAGCTTTGGCATGTTTGGAACGAGTCCCGTAAATCACGGCCAGACGGGCGGCTCCCGTCACGCCCGGCCCCATCAAAACCATGGAGAAGAAACCATTCCTATTTTCTAGGGGCTTATCAATTGTTGTGAATGACTTCAGGTAGAACCCCTGTTCCGTAACAAAATTCTGCACCTGAACAGCCTCCCTTCACCTGAGGGACCGGTTCGGAGATGGCCAAATTTGCCAATCGGGGGTCAACCTTCAAAAGAATCACCTTCTGGCGTTCGGCCGTTACGGCCATAGTAATCTTGCCAATAGTGCCAATAGGTGATGCACCCGGACGTTCAGATTCCCCGCCGTAGCGGAATCAAGTAGAACATACACTTTGTACAGAAAAAATGGGGGGTGGAGCACCCAGCGCTTCCATAAGTAAATTCTGAAATTCTCCAGAGGGAAGCTCAGAGCTATCGAGGTTACCAGCCCAATTCGTTAAAGAAAACTGGGGATTACCCAGAGGACCCAAAAGGGGTCGGACCCTTAACACCCGCCCGAGTGGGAGTACCTGAACGGGACAGTAGCCCCAGTAAGGGTCACCATGGGGGGGGATGCACCTACCATAACCACATAATCCTTCTTCTCACTCCGGTCGGTAACCGACCTCTCAGTACGGGGTCTATCACGTATCCACAGTTTGGTCTTTTTTGCCTGACCAGGGGCTCTTATGCGCGGTGGGAGCGCGCCATCTTTGACCGCCTCAGTGAGTCCGTCATAGCAGGCAGGACCTGCATCAATGAGTGGGACATGAGGTGATAAGCCTTTGCCGTAGTCTTACGGGCCCCGGGCGAGGCGGGGCAGAAGGGGGGTCCCATAACCAGTAGAGCAGGGGTAGCCGCAGGGGTCACTAAGGGAGCTTGCGTAAAAAAACTGGGAAAGCAAAGACAACTCCGCTCCCAGGGTTGAGGTAAAAATTTATGGCATGGACTACGCTATATTGGAGACTAGTAACGTCTGACAAAAGCTCCCAGGGGCCACAGTCTGCTCGGTTGCCCCTGAGGAAATATCATTAAATTGGACCTCAGGCCCATCACCCTCATCCTGCATAGCAAGAAGGGTTAGTATATAAAATGAAAATGTATTGTCTATAAGCCTGCAGGAACACATATAGATCTAAAGGAGAATATATAATTTATTTAAAATAAATAAAATAAACAGTCAGAAATATATAGCAAGATCAGGTCTCTCTGCTAAGAAAGTAAACTTGTAAATTAAAGAGCCCATGTGATCTGGACACATCCATGCAATTCCTATCACTATAGATGGCAAAGTACAAATGCAGGGAGGTAGCATGAGAAAATCTTTAAAATGTACACTGATGCACAACAAGAAAATTAAAAGTATGAACCTAGTAGGACAGGGTTGAGTAACCCACAGGAGAAAAAACGGTTAATTAGGCACTATATAACAGCAAACAGAGCATAGGCATGCACAGCCGATTGCATTAGGGTGTGCACCCTAAAGCACAAGCACACGCCGCGTATATATATGTATGTATGTATATATATGTGTATTTATATATAGTATATATATAAATACACATATATATACACTCACACACACATACACTGCGGTGTGTGTGTGTGTGCTGTGTGAGGGTGCTGTTAGTGTGATGTGTGTGTGACGGTGCTGGTAGTGTGCTATGTGGGTGAGGGTGTTTGTGTGTGCGCGCTCGTGAGGGTGCTGTTAATGTACTATGTGTGAGGGTGCTGTTAGTGTGTGTGTGCGCGCTTGTGAGAGTGCTGTTAATGTACTGTGTGTGAGGGTGCTGTTTGTGTGTGAGGGTAGTGTGCTGTGTGTGTGTTTGTTAGGGTGCTGTTTGTGTTTGTGAGGGTACTGTTAGTGTGCTGTGTGTATGTGAGGGTGCTGTTTGTGTGCTGTGTATAAGGGTGCTGTGTTTGTGAGGGTGCTGTGTGTGTGGGTGCTGTATGTGTGTGTGGGTGCTGTATGTGTGTTGATGCTGTGTATGTGTGTGGGTGTTGTATGTGTGTGGGTGCTGTGTATGTGTGTGGGTGCTGTATGTGTGTGGGTGCTGTGTATGTGTTTAGGTGCTGTGTGTGTCTGTGGGTGCTGTATGTGTGTAGGTGCTGTGTATGTCTGTGGGTGCTTTATGTGTGTAGGTGCTGTATGTGTGTAGGTGCTGTGTATGTGGGTGCTGTATGTGTGTGGGTGCTGTATATATCTGTGGGTGCTGTATGTGTGTAGGTGCTGTGTATGTCTGTATGGGTGCTGTATGTGTGTAGGTGATGTGTATGTCTGTGTGGGTGCTGTATGTGTGTAGGTGCTGTGTATGTTTGTGTGGGTGCTGTATGTGTGTAGGTGCTGTGTATGTCTGTGGGTGCTGTATGTGTGTAGGTGCTGTGTATGTCTGTGTGGGTGCTGTATGTGTGTAGATGCTGTGTATGTCTGTGGGTGCTGTATGTGTGTAGGTGCTGTGTATGTCTGTGGGTGCTGTATGTGTGTAGGTGCTGTGTATGTCTGTGTGGGTGCTGTATGTGTGTAGGTGCTGTCAGGGGCGGACTGAGAACCCTCAGGGCCCCCGGGCAAAATAAATCAAGGGCCCCCTTACAGGCCCCACCCATACTCTGCAGCAAGCGCCACCCTTGTCCCGCCTCCATGCACCGCCTCCAGCCACACCCTACACAATCTTTAGACACAAGGAACAAAAGGGCAATAAGCCCTTCGAGGCCCCAGTAGAGACTACAATTGAGGGCTAATGGGCCATGGAGGGGGTCTTTCTAGCGGAGGCTATCTCAGTGTCCTTTAGAGAGTGTGTTAGAAAGAATCCCCTCCAAGCCCCATTAGAGACTACAATGGAGTCTAAAAGGCTTGGAAGGGGGTCTTTCTAACAGAGGCCATCTCAGCGTCCATTAGATATCCCCTGCTGGAAACAGTCGCCTCCAGGCCCCAGTAGAAACTACAATTGAGGCTAATGGGCCATGGAGGGGATTTCTAGCAGAGGCTAGAGTCTAATGGGGCCTGGAGGGTGGTCTCTCCAACACTCTGGTTCCTATTCACAATATAGCAACACAACATAGCTCGCTGATATCTAAGCCAAGTTGGCTCCTCTTACCTTAATTACTGTTGCTGGCTGGCAGTCTGTGGGCTTGCTGGCTGCGGCTGGCAGGCTGTGGGCTTGCTGGCTACTGCCGGCAGGCTGTGGGCTTGCTGGCTACTGCCGGCAGGCTGTGGGCTTGCTGACTGAGGCTGGCAGGCTGCGGCTGGCAGGCTGTGGCTTGCTGGCTGTAAGCCTGTGGCTTGCTGTAGGCCTGTGGGCTGGCTACTGGCCTGTGGGCTGGCTAACTGGCTGGCTACTGGCCAGCCTGTGGGGTGGCTGGCTGGCTACTGGGGCACTTGTAGATTATTTAAAGAAATAATCCATGCACAATAACCACTACTGCTCCAGAGTAAGTAGTCAAACCGTTTAAGAACAGTTTGACAACTTACCTGGGGTCTGCTGGGATATGAGGCTGTAGTTGGGAATAGGAACAGTGGTGCAATGTGTGTGAAAGGTTCAGTGTGTGTGTGGGGGTGTAGTGTGTGAATGTGTAGGGTGTGTGGGCAGTGTATGTGTGTGGCAATGTTAGTATGGGGGGCTGTGTATGGGGTCTGTGTGTATATGGGTGGGCAGTGTATGTGTGTGTGTGAGGCAATGTGTGTAAATGTGTATGGTGTGTATGGGGGCAGTGTGTGAATGTGTATGGTGTGTGTGTGGGGGCAGTGTGTTTATGGGGCTTGAGTTCACTCTCACCACTGCGACCACCAGGAATCCATGGGGGTTACAGTGTTGAGAGTGAACTCTAGCCCGTAGCTCCAGGGCTAGAGTTGACTCTCGCAAGAGCAGTAACGTTGCCATGGTAACCACGCCAACGCTCTGTGCTCACGCAAGAAGGACCCAGAGGAGCTGCAGGGTGAGCTCCCAGGTCCTCTCTTCCTCCCCTGCCCGCACGGTGCCTGCGGACAGGGGAGGGGGGGCATTCTTCCCTCTTTGTCTCCCCCCTCCCCATCTCTCCCCTCTCCATCTCTCCCCCCTGTTTCTCCCCCCTCCCCATCTCCTCTCCATCTCTCCCCCCTGTTTCTCCCCTCTCCCCTCTTTCTCCCCCTCCCATCTCTCCCCTCTCCCCCCTCATCTCTCCCCTCTTTCCCTCCCCCATCTCTCCCCCTCTTTCTCCCCCATCTCCTCCCCCTCTTTCTCCCCCCCTCCCATCTCTCCCCTCTTCTCCCCCCTCCCCATCTCTCCCCCTCTCCTCCCCATCTCTCCCCCCTCTTTCTCCCCCCCCTCCCCATCTCTCCCCCTCCCATCTCTCCCCCTCTTTCTCCCCCCCCATCTCCCCTCTTTCTCCTCCCTCCCCATCTCTCCCCCTCTTTCTCCCCCCATCTCTCCCCCCTCCCCATCTCTCCCCCTCTTCATCTCTCCCCTCTTTCTCCCCCCTCCCCATCTCTCCCCCCCTCTTTCTCCCCCCTCCCATCTCTCCCCCTCCCATCTCTCCCCCTCTTTCTCCCCCCTCCCTCTCCCCCTCTTACTAAAGTCAGAGGGGGGCGGCCGTTTGATGCTGGAGCCGCCGGACCGGGTGGCAGCCTTGCCGGTCCGGCGGCATTCCTCTCAATAACACTGAAGGAGGAGGAGGAGGAGGAGCATGTGTCTGTCAGGCTCCTTTGCGGTTCCCACATCCTGTGCTGGGAATTGTGGGAACCGCAGGGAGCATGATAGACACGTGCTCCTCCTCCTCCTCCCCCTTCAGTGTTATTGAGAGGAATGCCGCCGGACCGGCGAGGCTGCCACCCGGTCCGGCGGCTGCAGCATCAAACGGCCGGCCCCCCCCCACAGTGTGCCACCGGACCGGCCACCCGGTGGCACCTGCAGTCCCCAAATGCCGCCCCCAATCCAGCCCTGACGCCGGGCCCCCTGAAGGCGGCCCTGGCGGCGGGCCCCCCTCCCGGCCGGGCCCTCGGACCGTGTCCGAAGTGCCCAACCGGTCAGTCCGCCCCTGGGTGCTGTGTATGTCTGTGGGTGCTGTATGTGTGTAGGTGCTGTGTATGTCTGTGTGGGTGCTGTATGTGTGTAGATGCTGTGTATGTCTGTGGGTGCTGTATGTGTGTAGGTGCTGTGTGTGTGTGTGGGTGTGTGTGCTGTATGTGTGTGGGTGATTGTAGGGGGTGGAGGTGGGGGTACATTACTTAATATCCCCCCTCCCTTCTTACCTTATGTAGGAAGGGGGATTCTTGTTCTTGCTGCTTTCCCTGGTGGTCCAGTGGAGAGTGAACTCTAGCCCCTGTGGAGATAGAGTTCACTCTCGCGAGATCTGAGCGTTGTCGCGAGAGTAACCCGGCAATAGCTCCCCGGGTCCTCTCCTGCCTCGCTCACTGCATGTGGGTCGGTGGGGAGGGAGGCTGAGAGCTCGGATAGTGCCGGCTCTGCATGAGCTGACAGGGGAGATCCTGAGATCTCCCCTGCTGGTCTCACTCTATAGGCGTGCCGCAGGGATTAGGGTGTGCCACTTCCTCTGTTATGTGATTGGTTGCCTGTGTGCCTATACAGTTTTTTCTTTCATTTTGATATATTTATATTTCTCTATCTTTGCTGCTGAGAGTAATAAAGAAAGAAATATGCATAATAGGAGCCTCCGTGTCTTTAATAAAATTCACAGCTATCTGCTAAAATGTTGCATATATTTAGAGAGGATGTGGGAGTGGCTGCAGTAATCCACCGGCAGTAATCCATAATCCATGCTTTAATATATTGACCACACCTTACCATACCTAGGACAGAAACAGTTCACCTCTCCCTCATTTATAAGAGGGGATCCTGGGTTAATCGTTTTATACAAACCTGTCACATAAGTGGTGTGGCAAGAGGTCCCACATGTTGAATAGAGGGCTGGGTGTACCCTGAAATATTAGAGTGCTGCCATATTACCCCATTATAAACAGGGATTTTAGATGGGCAATATTGATTTTTATATTGTTTACTCATATCTTGTATGGGCAGTTGAGATGGTGGATTAACCATTAAACCATTGGTCCTGGCTGTAGGTACATTGCAGAATATTGGAGCTTGAATTGTAGTTTTCTGATTTTTTTCCAGTGTGAAATATTTATCGAATTTGGACATTATGCCATGCATTATTTTTATTGTATGCTGACATTATGGGAATCTGCTTTCCCTAAAATACTAGAATAGGAATTAGATATAAAGAAGTAGTTGAGCTGACCACTTTCCCTTATGTTTTATTTATTTTTCCTACTGTATTTAATAACCATTGTGCTTTATTGGGCTATTTTCAGCAACTTTTTATGAAGTATTCCAAGACCAGTCAATGCTTTATAATCTAGATGCATATCCACCCCAATATTCCTGTTAAAGGGACACTATAGTCGCCAGAACAACTACAGATTAATGTAGTTGTTTTGGTGAGTATAATAGTTCCCTTCAGGCTTTTTTTCATGCAAACACTGCTTTTTCAGAGAAGGCCACTGGAGGTGTTTCGTGGATCAGTGCTGCCGAAAAAACAGCCCTGACGTTCAACGTCCCTATGCTCTGCATAGAGACGCTGAAATGTCCTCATAGAGATGCATTATTTCAATGCATCTCTATGAGGAGGTCCTGATTGGCCAAAACAGCATTTGGCCCCGCCCCGTGCTGATTTTAGTCAATCCAATGCTTTCCCTATGAGATTTTGAAGGGGGTGGAGCCAGCGCAGGTGGACCTGCTCGGCGCTGGAAATAAGGTGAGTTAAACATTTAGAGGGGGGCTAAGGTGGGGCAAGCCACCTAAATGGTGGGTTAAACACTAAAGGATCAGGAATACATGTTTGTGTTCCTGACCCTATAGTGTTCCTTTAAACATAACTGTCCCCAAAACCTGTAGACAAACAAATTGATATCTAGAGATGACTGTAATTAAGTGACATAGCAAATAAAAAATGAGTTATATATTTATTATGAAGAGGAATGATTAAATGAGGAATAAAAAACATGTACATTTACATAATTTATCTTTTTAGGTATCCCTGAGCAGCAATCTGTGCATGGATCTACTAGTGGTTTATACTGCAAACATGTATTAGCTATTCATCCAATGTTTCAAATAAATATTATGCAATTTATTAAAATGAAATAACACAGTAACAAAGGTTTTAATCTAACATTGTGCCATCACTAGAACAAGCACTTTAATAATTGTTACTCAGCTAATGAGCTACCGTTGTCAATGAAAAATATTCCTTGTTGCAGTTGAAATCACACTGTTAGTTGGAGAAAGGCAGTACTGCCCCTTTAAACTCAGGCATATTTCTGATATCTATTTCAACTTTTATTGAACAATGTAAACAAAACCTCAAATTCCAAAATTCCATAGAGCTGTGTTTTAAATTGAACTACATCTAGTTTGTATTTTTTCAGAAGTGTTAACAGGACCGAATAATTGACAGTTACCCACATCTAATAATGGTAATGGGGCTCCAGCAGTCAAAAATCTGCCAACTGACAACAATCTTCATGGACCCTTACACTATCAGTGGAAAGTTGTAATGTGTTAATGTTTTTCATGTGTACATTCTACAGCATATAACTCCTAGCAAGTGTCCAATTCATAGACTTGCCATTGCCTGATTGTGAGAAACACAAGGCTCAATTATTCAAGTAATGAGAAGTAACTAATCAACAGCATCTGGACAGAAAGGTACTAGATTTGAAAACTATAATATCCCAGTGTCCTCTTTGAGAATCTAGTCAGGCTCTTTTGCCTTCTGTGCAATATGAAGAGACGTTAAAGCGACACAACAACTTTAGCTTAATGAAGCAGTTTTGGTGTATAGATCATGCCACTGCAATCTCACTGCTCAATTTTCTGCTAGTTAGGAGTTAAATCACTTTGTTCATACAGGTCTAGTCACACCTCACGGATTGACTTACATATTCTTCCTAAACACTTCCTGTAAAGAGAGACCTAATGTTTACACTTCCTTTATTACAAATTCTGTTTAATTTAGAATTCCTTATCTCCTGCTCTGTTATTAGCTTGCTAGACCCAGCAGGATCCTCCTGTATGTAATTAAAGTTTAGTTTATAGAGCAAGAAATAAAAACAGTTAACCCCTTAAGGACCAAACTTCTGGAATAAAAGGGAATCATTACATGTCACACATGTCATGTGTCCATAAGGGGTTAAAGGAAATGACATCCGATTAAAAAAATGAAACAATTTTGTTTTCATGCAGGCTGTGTGAGTTACAGCCACGGGAGGTATGGCTAGGGTTGCATTGATAGAAACAAAAGGGATTTAACTCCAAAATGGCAGAGGATTTATTAGTGAAACCTCAGAGGCACGATCTTTACACCAACACTGATTCATTCAGCTAACATTGTGTTAGTGACTATAGTGTCCCTTTAACATATAAACCAGATACACAAGCCACACAAAATGATACAGTTTACAGCATTTTGTTTTTGAGTTGTAGTGTAAATAAATGCAAGGTTGTATTTGTGTGTAGTGTCAGTGCGAGTGAATGCAGGATTGTATTTGTACCTTCTTGTGTCTCCCAATGTCATTGCCCTCTCCCTTCCTATGTGATTAGCTTCTTTTTTGATCTCTACCAAAATCACGAGACCATTCTTCCCCATGTCATTTATCCTCTTTTCTCCAAGCCATCATCACAAGTCAGTACTATTATTTACCTATCTTTTCTTTGAGTTAATCCTCATTTGTAAGGTCCAGTGGAATGTGACAGTGCCAAGCCATTTGTTCCAGTTACTTTTCAACAGCTTATTATTATTATTATTATTATTATTTATATAGCTCTAACATAGTCTGCACACAGTACTTTTCTATTTTATAAAAGGGTTATATATATGAACAAGTAATTGACAGATACAAATAAAACATGACAGAGAGAATAGGTGAATAAGGGGTGGAGTCTGGCCAAGATCTTAGATGGCCACATTCTAGAGGAGCTCCTGAGGCAAGTGGACATAAATGTTTCATAAATAAATTATTAAGCCTGGATGACAAAGAATTTTACACAATGCAGAAACAAAAAAAAAATGGAAAAAAAGTTCCTGTACTGCAAAAGTGAGAGGCTGGAGCTGTCAACAAAACTGTCCTGCGGCTTATTTCGCCAAAGAAATCCACGTTGGTGGGAGTGGTGAAAACTATCCCACCCGCCTGCCCAGTTACTCAGACCCGCTATATGCTCGCATTACTCTCAGAGCGGCGGGATCGCGGCTGCAAAAGCCGCGACATCTGAGGGCGGTTCAGTGCCCTCTTGGCACTCGGCACGCTCGGAGGGCCACGGACAATCTCCCGCGAGCGGCTTAACAGAAGCTGATAGCCGCTTGCGCGCTATAATTAAAGCAGCCTGGTCGCTGGTATACAAAAGCAGCCAGGATACAGAGGAGGGTATAGGGGGCATGAGGTCTCGCTCCCCGTCGAGGTCCTCGGCACACGGCTGGGAACACCGGCCGGGTGGGTCTTTCCCTCCATCTCCCTAAAAGACAAAGAATTGGTAGATGATGGTGACAATTTAATAGACTGTGATGTACTGGAGGAAGAAATAGGCTCCATTTATTATTCTTCTATGCAACTAATAATGAGACTTCTATTAATGATTTTACCGCACCCAAGATGTCTACCACTGTACATGTAACCACTGCCACCACCAAGATGGCCACTGCCACTTCTAACATGGAAACTGCCACATCCAAGATGGCTTCTTCAGGATTCAAAACCATGACCTACAATCCTAATATGCTAATATGCCGCTTGAAATGGCAGAGGATTTACCACCTTCTGCTTGTATGATTATTCAACTTATACAAAATTTGAGAGTGGATTTAAAGAATGACTTTAGAAAAGATTTTGACACTATGTATGGAGTTTTAGAAAACATTGGTCAACGTACAGAAGATGTTGAATACAGAATGCAGGTGCAAGAACAATCACATTTAGATCTGGTTAACACTGTACAGGAACTTCAGACACAGGTCAACTTGCAAGCGGAAAAAATGGCAGATTCTGAAGACAGGAGCAGGCGTAACAATTTGACGATCGGGGGATACCTGATAAAGTGTTAACCTCGGACTTGATACATGATTTCCAAAAAATTGTTAAAATGATTTTACCCAAAGCTACTGATTTAGATCTAATAGTGGATCGTATCCACAGACTCCCTAAATCTGGCAATGCTCCTGCAACAGCTTCAAAAGACACCATAGTGAGACTACACTTTTTTCATATAAAACAGGAAATCCTGAGCACTAGCCGCAAATCAGGTCTCCCTGTGGATTATAAATATATCAAAGTTTTCCAAGATTTCTCAGCCTACACTATGAGACGCCGCAGAGAATTTCAACCCTTCACGACAGAGCTGAGACAAAGAGAGATTCGTTACAGATGGGGATTCCCTGTAAAATTACTCTTTCATATGGATGGCAGAAATTTCACAATCACTTCTCCTGAGGAAGGGATGGATCTTCTTAATGCCATGAACAGACGTCAAAACCAACCTCACGTAACCTCACCGTCTACTCCAAGACACACCCACAAGAAAAGTAGGGCGGATGACACTTGAAGCTACTTTCTTTTAATATTTTGAAGGCACAAAAGCTCCAACATACATATTGTCGGTTTGGATTTATTACTTTCTCCACGTTGTTTTATCACATCCATTTTATTACTTACAAATTGTTTTTTCTCTTTACCTTTTTTTTTTTTTACCGCTCTCTCATTTTTTGGTTCCACATTCTTTATGCTCTTTATTGTGCATCAACACTTGGTTAAATGTCTATAGGATAGTGACGATTTTGAATGTATATTACTGATTTCTGATATAGGCCTGGGACATACTGAGCATATATCGGACTTCATTAGAGATGTGTTCACGGAACTAGAAGGACTCCATTCTTTATTGATCTTCTGTGCATACCACTGTTCATTTTTTATTTTTCTTTAACCCCTTAAGGACCAAACTTCTGGAATAAAAGGGAATCATGACATGTCACACATGTCATGTGTCCTTAAGGGGTTAAAGCTTTGATTGTTTTCCCCTTGCCGCAGGCAGTTTTCTCTCCTCCCAACTGGGGCCTAATACCCTGAGATGGAGAATTATTGTTTATTCTCCCTCTCGGCCCTTTTTCTAAACATTGTTTTTTTCTCTCCCCATATGGGGGAATTTATCCAAGTTTATCATTCCCCATTTTTTATTTTTCCTTTTTCCTTTTTATCCCATCCATTTACTAATGCACTGTAAGCAATTCAAGAAGCTAACAGGTTATGCTTCAAATGTTTTAGCACGCTCACGCTTGTCTAAACAAATGTATTTGTGATTACGATTGTTGGATTTCATAACTCTGCTCTTGGAACGCGGTCCTTCGGGCTCCCACATTTCTATACAATCTCTTTTTAATGGCTGTGTACTCTGATTTGAGTCATGGTCATTAAACTCATGTCATTTAATGTGAGGGGCCTGAACACCGCTCACAAGAGGCGACTATTGTTCAAAGAAGTCAAATCCAACAAATCAGGTATTGTCTGTATTCAAGAGACTCATCTTAAGGAAGGAAAAGAGTACAAATTTATGGCACGGTTATTCCCTTCCCAATTTCATTGCACTTACAAAACTAAGTCTAGAGGTCGAATGTGGCCAATTCTACAGAAAAGATAATGACGGATGATGACGGGAGGTACATAGTATGGATTGGTAAGGTTAACAATGTTAGGTATACAATTGTCAAAGTGTACTTTCCTAACACGGGTCAGCTTACTTTCTTTAGGAAAATTATGGATTTGGTGATTGAGAACATGAAAGGGACTTTGGTGATGTGTGGAGATATGAACTTCGTTATTAGATAATGCAAGGGATAATTTGGATAAACTCCATAGGAGAGATAGTGATAGATTAGCTGTGAAATGCTCAAAATATATGCTCGAAATATATGGTTGAATGTGGACTGTATGATCCATGGAGATTAATGCATGAGAATGAAAGAGACTTTACTTTTTACTCAGTATCCAAGAACATGTATAACAGGCTGGACAGGTTATTGATACAGGGCGCTCTCATACCACACATTTCAAGATCTGATATTTTAGATATCAATTGGTCTGACCATGCTCCCATAACTTTGCATATAGACGAAATGTTTTGAGTGATTACTTATTAGATGATCCTGAAAATAGATCGCTAGCTGAAGGGATACTGAATAACTATTTTTTGGAAAATGTTTTGCATGAGGTTCCTGGCGAGGTGGCATGGCATGCACACAAGGCTGTGTTGAGAGGCCATTTCATTTCTAGGGCATCTCACTTGAAGAGGAAAAATAACAGCAACTTAAGAGATTTGGAAAAAGAACTGTACAACCTAAATCAGGCAAATAAATTCATCCCATCTTCCTCCCTGTCAGCAATGATAGGGGAGATTAAATCAAAAATTCACAAAATAAATTTGGATCGAACTACTCTCATGGTGAGACGCCTCAAGAAAGTGTTTTATTTAAAGGGTAACAAGGCCTCAACTCTCCTGGTGTCCAAACTCCGGCAGGTGAATGCCCATTCTAAAATTGTGTACTTAATAGATGACCAGGGACAAAAAATATTTTACCCGAATAAGATTAGTGACCAATTCGCCAAATATTATAGTATACTTTATAATTTGGAATCTGATGTAAATCTCACCCAGCCGTCTGAGGCGACTATTAAAGGACCACTATAGTGCCAGGAAAACATACTCGTTTTCCTGGCACTATAGTGCCCTGAGGGTGCCCCCACCCTCAGGGACCCCCTCCCGCCCGGCTCTGGAAAGGGGAAAGGGGTTAAAACTTACCTTTTTCCAGCGCTGGGCGGGGAGCTCTCTGCCTTCTCTCCTCCTCCGATCCTCCTCCTGGGCTGAATGCGCACGCGCGGCAAGAGCTGCGCGCGCATTCAGCCCGTCGCATAGGAAAGCATTTACAATGCTTTCCTATGGACGCTTGCGTGCTCTCACTGTGAAAATCACAGTGAGAAGCACGCAAGCGCCTCTAGTGGCTGTCAATGAGACAGCCACTAGAGGATTAGGGGAAAGGCTTAACCCATTCATAAACATAGCAGTTTCTCTGAAACTGCTATGTTTATAAAAAAATGGGTTAACCCTAGAAGGACCTGGCACCCAGACCACTTCATTAAGCTGAAGTGGTCTGGGTGCCTAGAGTGGTCCTTTAATAATTTTTTAGACAGGGTTTCGTTGCCTTGGCTGTCTTCTGATAATTTGGAAAAATTAGAGCATGATATATCTGAAGCAGAGATAGCCGAGACGATTAAGCTCATGCCATCTGGAAAGGCCCCTGGTCCTGATGGATTCACCATTTTATACTATAAGACTTTTGCAGAAACTTTAATTCCTCATATGTCCAAATTATTCAACTCCTATAAGTCCGGGGGGAAGATGCCAGGAGAGTCTTTGTCCGCACAGATTGTCACCTTGCCAAAACCGGGTAGAACTCCCGACAGGTGCTCTAATTTTAGGCCCATATCCCTTATTAATAACGACACAAAAATGTATTCTAAAATACTATCGGACCGATTAATCTAATACCTTTATTGATCAATAATGACCAGGTAGGATTCGTTAAAGGTAGACAAGTACCTGATGGAACGAGATGGTTCATTAACTTAATTCAGCATATCAATTCAACAAGAACTCCTTCTCTGCTCCTTTCATTGGATGCAGAGAAGGCGTTCGACAGGGTACATTGGGGATATCTATGGAAGACACTGAGCAGATTTGATATTCCACAATCTTTTATTACTGCGATAAAGGCACTATACAGTGCACCCACAGCTCATGTATCGGCCTCGGGTTTCCAATCCAGAACGTTTTCTCTAACTAATGGGATGCGTCAAGGCTGCCCCTTACCTCCAATTCTCTTTGTCCTGGCGATGGAACCCCTGGCCGAACTGATTAGGACGACCCCAGTAATCGCTGGTATTAATATCAAGGGATCCACTCATAAAATAGGGTTATTTGCAGATGACGACATTCTAGCACTCAAAAACCCAAAAGACTCTCTGAAATCTCTCAATGCTATTCTACTCCAGTTTGACGAAGTGTCTTATTATAAATTAAATGTATCCAGGACCCAGGCCCTGCCTTTCCATTTGCATAAATCTGATATGGATGAATTAAGACGATCATATCCGTTCGACTGGAGGAGGGATTACCTGGAATATTTAGGAATTAATTTATGCAAACATTTACCCAATATGCATATTAATAATTTGAAGAGAGCATGGCTGGACCTACACAAGGAGATGGAGAGATGGGGTGGTATGGAGTTATCGTGGTTAGGAAGAATTGCCTCCATAAAAATGTCAATCCTCCCAAAAATCTTGTACTATTTTAGAACTATCCCCTTATCTCTTCCCAGGGGCGTACCTAGAGCATTTGGCACCCAGGGCGGATCCTGTGCTTGGCACCCCCCCCTCCCCACCCCCCAAAAAAAAAAAAAAAAAACCTGTAAAAAATGTTAAAGGTTTTCTTTTTTTTTTTACAATTTGTAAACTTTCAAAACCGCTGTCAGCCCCTCCTACAAAACCTTTGTCCTGCCCCGCCCCTCCTACAAAACCTCTGTCCTTCTACAAATCCTGTACTGCCCCGTCTACAAAACCCCCGCAACCCCCTTCCACAAATCCCCTGCTTATCCCCCCTTATAAAGACTCCTGTCCCAATACAAAACCCCGCCCCCTTCTACAAAATCCC